AAAATAGTTTAAAATGTGGTCTTTAATCAGGTATCCATTCTTATTTTAAATGAGATGGATATTAACTAGGGCGGTCAAGCAATTAAAAAATTAATCACAATTAATCACACTATTAAACAATAAAAGAATACCATTTATTTAAATATTTTTGGATGTTTTCTACATTTTCAAACATATTAATTTCAATTACAAGGTGTAAAGTGCTCACTTTATTTTTGATTAGTATTTGCACTGTAAAAAATAGTATTTTTCAAATCACCTAATACAAGTATTGTAGTGCAATCTCTATCATGAAGGTTGAACTTACTAATGTAGAATTGTGTACAAAAAACGGCATTCAAAAATAAAACTATATAAAATTTTAGAGCCTCCAAGTCCACTCAGTCCTACTTCTTGTTCAGCAAATCATTCAAACACGTTTGCTTACATTTGCAGGAGATAATGCTGCCTGCTTCTTGTTTACAATGTCACCTGAAAGTGAGAAGAGGCATTCTCATGACACTGTTGTAGCCAGCGTCACAGATATTTATGTGCCAGATGCGCTAAAGATTCATATGTCCCTTGATGTTTCAACCATCATTCCAGAGGTCGAGTCCATGCTGATGACGGGTTCTGCTCAATAACAATCCAAAGCAGTATGGACCGACGCACGTTCTTTTTCATTATCTGAGTCAGATGCCACCAGCAGAAGGTTGATTTTCTTTTTTGGTGGTTCGGGTTCTGTAGTTTCCGTACTGGAGTGTTGTTCTTTTAAGACTTCTGAAAGCATGCTCCACACCTCGTCCCTCTCAGATTTTGGAAGGCACTTCAGATTCTTAAACCTTGGGTCGAGTGCTGTAGTTATCTTTAGAAATCTCCATTGGTACCTTCTTTGCGTTTTGTCAAATCTGCAGTGAAAGTCTTCTTAAAATGAAGAACAGTCATCATCCGAGATTTCTAGAACATGAAATATGTGGTAGAATATATAGAGCATCATTAGCATGATAGCATGTCCTCTAGAATGGTGACCGAAGCATGAAGGGGCATATGAATCTTTAGTGCATCTGGCACGTAAATATCTTGCAACGCTGGCTACAACAATGTCATGCAAATGCCTGTTCTCACTTTCTGGTGCTGTAAATAAGAAGAGGATAGCATTATCTCCTGTAAATGTAAACAAACTTGTTTGTCTTAGCGATTGGCTGAACAAGGAAGTAGGACTTGCAAGCTCTGAATTTTTTCATTGTTTTGTTTGAGTGCAGTTGTGTAACCAAAACAATTCTACATTTGTAAGTTGCACTTTCACGCCAAAAAGAGATTGCACTGCAGTACTTGTATGAGGTGAACTGAAAAATACTATTTCTTTTGTGTATCATTTTTACAGTGCAAATATTTGTAATCAAAAATATACACTTTGATTTCAATTACAACACAAAATACAATATATGAAAATGTAGAAAAACATCCAAAATATTTAATAAATTTAAATTGGTATTCTATTTTTCAACAGTGTGATTAAAACTGATTCATTTTTTTAATCCCGATTCTTTTGTTGAGTTAATAGTGTGAGTTACCTGTGATTAATCGACAGACCTAATATTAACCACTGCTGCACAGCCTTTGCTATTTGTAATAGTTTAAAATCTCACTGGTAATTAGTTTGCTAATCTAGAAAGAGGTTACAAACAGGGAGCACAAGATACAGAAAAGAAGTATGAGATTGTCACCGTTTAATTGTTCTTTCTTGTGTGATATCAGAAGGCATGATGTTGACCATGCAGCAGCAGCAGCAGCAAAGGAAAACCCACCCAAACCATAATTCTCAAGCCAGTTCGGACTTGAAGTATTGTGTGGTCACTCACAGATGTAACAATTCTAGGAGGTGGAGAATGGCAACCACACGGTGGCTATGTGTAAAATTTCCACTAGTTCAAAAGTCACTGGTTTGAGAGAGTTCCCTTTATAAATAAGGGTCTATGCATAAAGAATAAGCAATACCAATAATGTTAGTAAAAACTATCAAACTGGTGGAAAAATGTTTAACTGCAACCACTGTATTACACCTACCCATGTACCATCACACAAATTATGTTTGAAAATATCTGCACGGATACAAGCCTGACATTGCTATCTGACAACTGCTTTCTGTTGGTATTATAGAACAGAGATCCATTAGACTAGCTGTCAAGCCAGGAACAGATATATTAGTGCTTGACTAATATATTTAAAACGGTTTAACTTTCTATAGTGAAAAATACATAAACATGCGACGAGAGCTTCCTAGATTACGTTGTGGAGTAATATAGTCTGTTACACTTTAGGTCAAAAGAAACATACAATAAAAAATAAAAAAAAAAAATAATCAGATTGTGGACCAGAGTTCATTTGTGTGAAGGGTTTCCCCCTTAAAAGCTTAGGCAAAATTTTCAGTAGTAGAAGTAAGTTAAAATTAAGCTTCCAAATACATATGTAGCCCCCTAAGTAGTCTGCTTTTCAAGTGTGCTGATGGACCTAGGAGACTAACTTTAGCTACCCATATTTAGTATTCGCTTAAATATGTATTAAAACCAAATCAGCTAGAAATTGGTTAAAAAAAACACACACACACACATACACACACCAATCCAGCCATTTATAAATATCAAAACAATGCAGCACAATGGCTGACAGTGAGTAGGCTCCTACTGTAGTTACATTATCAGAATACCCTAAGTATTATCCAAGACAGATATGCCATATGGCTAAAATTCTCCCCACTCCAAACTTCAGGGGTGGGGAAACTATCTGGGTCAGTAGGGGAAAGAAAACTCTGGTGCACCTTTAAGGATTGCTCCCCTCCCCTTCCACTCCTTGGGGGAGCTCAGCTTTGTTATGGGCATCTGGGGCACCGGGGGGTTCCTAATGAACTGGCTGGATGGAAGGGCATATCAGAAGTCCACTGGTTCCCGTGCATCCAGAAAGGTGGTTTTGTTCATTTTTATAAGCCCTTTCCCCTGCTTGGGGACCATTCTGCAGCAGGGAGCAATAGCTACCATCCTTCCACCCTTTGGGATTAGTTGTTTCTGGTCCTTACAGTGGGCACCACACTAGTTGCTTTGGCCTGGAAAGAATATTTCCCTCACTGCCTGGGCCTGCAGCAACCCAGGAGCCAGTGGCTAGGGTCAGTTGTAAAGTTCATGTTCTGGCAATCTGGTAGATGTCCAGAACAAGTCTGGTTCCTCGATAAACCAGAACTGGATTAGGGGAAGGCATCTCTAAAAGAATGTGGAGAATGGGGCTGGGGTTCCTAATGACTGGTACAACGAGGGGTCAACCCCTCTACGCCCATCTCATTAACTTGTGTACATGGGAAGGGCAATACGGGTCCCAGCAACAGCAGTGGGACCAGCTTAAATGGGTTGAGGAGGATGGGTGAAGGGAGCCCTGACCAGGTGGTACGGATTACGAAAGGATGATCTGCATCAGACAAGTTATTGCCAGATTGTTTCCCAGATGCATTAATAAACTGTGGCCTAGCTGAACCACATTCCTGGTGGACAAAGGAAACAGGCAAGAAGAAAGCTATATAAATAGGGTTTGTGCAAGTTACTCAAAAATTTAATGTTTTTCCCCTCAAACATCAAAACCCTATTCTGCATTCATACAAAAACTGTTTACAGCCAACCTCACTCTATTAGTTTGTTTTCTAACTGTAAGGCACAAAGCAAAGCTGGCCAAATTTCTCCAAACCATGGAGGCAGCTGCTCCTACCCAAGTTCACAGGAAACAGCAAGAAAAGTACACAGCATTTGACACATCTGGAAGAGATTGCATAGTCTTTGAAAATATTGTCCTAATTCCTTTCCTCCTGCTGATGAGATTTCAGGCTACTAAAGTGCTACATCAACTACAGAGGATTAGATAACATGTAGGCTTTAACTCTACTCATTCTTTTTGTCAGAACAAAGGAGAATTTTTTCAAGCTAGCCTGGAAATAACAAACATTCTGATTCAGAAGAAAGAATATTGTAAAATGTACTGGCGTAAACAGAGAAATGAACTGGAAGGTTGATATTTAACTTGGGAAAATTGGTATTTACTGCACTAGGTGACCAAGGTAAATTTAAAAAGGAAATCAGCATTACGTGCTTTTCATGTTTGTACTAAGTAGTGAAAAGAAATGTCAATATAGTAGTTTTAAGTAAGAAAGCATGGAATGAAGGGGAGAATAAGTATAGAAGGCTGGGATTTGTACTCATTTAGCCAGAAATTTACTTGTAATTGCATGCTGACATGCATGAATACTGCAAATGTGTAATTCTCTAATGTAAGGTGCAAAATCCAAAAGCAATCATCATAATTAGCAAAACAAAACGTAATGCTTTATTTGCTCTCTCTCTCTCATGACAATGAATGCAAAAAAATACAGATGAAATTCAAAGGGAAATGCAAATCAACTATTAAACATAATGAATTTTATTTTTTTTCAGGAAAGACTGGAAAGAGGAGTTTTCTCCTGAAGTGTTAGTCCATGATCATTTACCTTTTATGTAGTTTTGAAAGATTAAGAATAATGAACAATGTGACCAGTTTACATATGCATTTTTTAAAACATTCAGTATAGATACAAAATTGAATATAGCACTAACTTAAGACAACATAAATCTCATTCTTTTAATGTTAGCATTAAAGCAAAGTTCCAATAAAAAAAACAAAGAAAATAAATGTTTTTCAAAGATGCAAAATATACTGATTACTGGTTGCAACTGAGATTCCAGTTGTAGTAAAGAATTAAGAGGTCTATTCTCCCATTGTGTCAGAATCATAAGTCTCACAGACATTATTGGGAGTTATGCATGTGTATGAACAGGAGAATGCACCCTTCTAGAGATGATATATTTTAGAGTAATACCGCTACTTTTAAGTAAATACTATCAAGAGCCCACTGTTCCTATTTTTGCTAGTAGAGCCTTAACAAATAAAAACACCCATGAAGAAAAAAATGTTATTTCCAAAGTGACAATAAAAATGTACTCATCAGCTTCATTCTTATGTAACACTGGAGTATTTATTCTAAACAAGCATGATAAGATAGCTATAAAAGCCCTTTTGAGAAATTTAAATAAAACAGATTGCGTTTATATAACACAAACCTTCTTAAGTAAGATGATCAATGTTACAAACCAAGGAACTGATCTGCAATTGCACCTATGCAGAAGCAGAGGCCCAATACACGGATCCAATTGCAGGATCAGGGCCTGATGGCCCAATGCTTGCTTGTGAAAGTAGCACCATCCCTTTTAATGGGACTTTCCATGTGAGTAAGGGTTTTCAGGATCAGGCCCAAATTAGTTATTCAAATCATACTGTGAGGAAACTAAATTGTTCAGATGGACATTTAAAAGTTTTTGCCCTCTTTTAGAATTATACCCAAAATAAAATTATACTTTAACATCCAAATTAGCAAAAAATAGTGTGTGTATATATATCGTCCATATTAAGATTAAACAAAATTTACAGTGAATGAGAAAATACTGTGGTTACAAATATATTTTGACATAATTCCTAAGAAGCAATCTAAACAGTAATCTATGCATAGTTATTTACACAGGAGCTAGAAGGGGTATTTCATTTTTAAATCAATTGATATTTTGGTCAGAGTTTGATAAAAGCTGATCGATACAGGTTTATAATAATCAGGAGCTGCAGGTTTTAGTAAACTTTATAACAAAAAGGTTGTATGTTGCACAATCATTAGATGAACCTAAATTACATAAAAAACTAACTACAAGTCTGACATGGTTAATCTGAATCATTTAGTATATCCCATTTTTACTCTCAATTTAACTTCAGATCAACAAGACAATGGTACATACATGCTAGGAGACGAACCGCCACTTAAATCTTTCACAAACAACAAGCACAGATTAACCAAGTCTGACTGTACTTAAGCTCTATCATCAGACTGTATGTATGGTTTGTTCTCATTTCAATCCTATCCTTTAGTTAGCACATATGCTAATGTGCAAAAACAAAGGCAATACTTAATATAAATATTAACTAGAATGAACAGAACTGGCACTTAAGCAAAAACCACCCTGTCATTCATTTTAGAAGCTGTATCTTTTCTTCACAAATTTGTCTTCTGTTTTTAGTAGTCTTCTATCCTATTAACTTGGAGGGCTACCGATCATCTGGAAATTTCACATTGGTAAAGGAAAGGAATGTCTGGTTGATGCAGTCTGGAGATAAAGAAAGAATCATACTTCAGTTCATCAGACTGATTACCTGTAAGTAACACTGATAATTGAGTTAAGATTTACAGAGGGGGAGCAGTTACTCCCCAAATCAGGATAACAGAAGAAAGTGACAGGATTAAAAAAACCCCAACCTTTAACTTTCAAAAATATCCTATAGTTTTTCTCTTGAAAGACTTGAGTGTGTCATGTTATTTTAGAGCTGCTAACATTGACAGGTAAAGTAACTCTGTCCAGTGCAATTATTCCTTGTATTAAATTAATAAAATTCATTCATTTATGCTTGTTGGCATTTGCTTTGAGTGTATTATTTCAATTTAATACTTAAAACATCTGAACAAATATAAACTCTCTCCAGCTCTTGAAGAGCTTTTTTCCCCACAGCCCTCACTGTGATGAAGTCAGAAGTCTGGGGCCCAACCCAGCACCCACTGAAGTTGACTTCAGTGGGTGCTGCATAAATCCCTCATCTTCCATCCTATACCAGATTTCAATCTCAGATGAAAGAATCATAGACCAAACCATCACAGATTCTCCTAGTTCTTCCTTAAAGCCACTGTGTTCAGATACAATGTATGCAGTTAATTTTTAGTACCCCTGAGTTTTAAAAGTTTTATGCCTGCACATATATTTTATTCATCACCATAACTTAATTATTTAGCAAATAGTTACTAGATGTTTTCATGCAGTGTTTACTGAACTTTTCCTTACTATGTAGAGCCACTGTATTGCTCCGAAAATGAAAGATGTTATTGATATGAAAAGAATAAAATAAATGACATATTTCTTTATTATTAAGAGTTTACCTTACTGCATAGTTTTGACAAAATGGCACAAAGTAAAAACATAGTACATTGCAATTTCGCTCACTTAGATTTATTTCTTGATCAAGATCTGTAAAGCACAGCACAAGTAATTATTTTCCATATTTTATCTGTAGGTGTCTAAGTGGATGTCACCATCTTAAATAAAAGACCCATCATTTCTAGACTACGTGTCTCAGTTTTTTCCCCCCAGACTTCCAATACTGTGTTGCTGGTTACTTCATACTGATCCTGCGGCCAATCTTGAAAAAAAAGTTAAGAAAATCATCTTTATTAAGTTAAATATAGTTTCTAAATGAAATCAAATTAAGAACCAATACCAAACATTTCAAGTTGTTCATGAAATAAGTAACTATTGTAGCATTTTCCTTATGGACATGAAGATAGTGTTTAGTAATGCTAAAGGCAAAGGAGTCTCCCTGTATTAAGTTATGTAGCAAAATCCAAAAGATCTACCTAATGGATAAAAGTCTACAGGAGCCTAAAAGTGGACATGTGCCAAACTGATTAGTCAGCTAACTTAAGGTTATACAGAGCACACTGTGAGATACATAATAAAAATCATGGCTCACAAGTGGCTTAAAACTGTCATGTACAGAGTCAATACATGTCAATCAGATTGAATATTGAGATTGCTGGTAAGGAAGCATTGATCTGACTGATGAGCCCAATCAGTTCACATTTGCTAATGACTATCCTGATTGTCTGTAGATTGATTATGCAAGATGAACAATTTTCACCTTAACTTGTAAGTTTGTTTTAGCTTTAGAATCCTAGTTTCAAAAGAAAACAATAGTTTTACTTTCAAAATGTAGAGTTATAAAAAGCATCATACTTCTAAAGTACTTTCAGAATGCATGGCACAGCACAATTCTTTTTTTGGTGACCAAGATTTAATGTTCCTTGAAATAAATCTTGATATCAGTTTCTTTGTGCTCAGCATTTACCTCTAGAGCAGTGGTTCTCAACCTATTTACCATTGTGGGCTGCATGCAATACTACCTGTATGGCCCCAGGGAGGTTATGTGGGCCGCAGCTGTGTGCTGACTGGGCCGCAGATTGAGAACTACTGCTCTAGAGACGTAAGTTTTAATATTAAATATTTACAAAATTGCTTACCTCTAATACAAGAAGAAAAATCTTGTTCTATGAGCAGCTGCCATGCTTTCAGACATGTTTCTGACTTTAAGGTAATTGACAAACCCTCGGAAGAACAGGAGGAGACCTGAAAATATTTAAAATACACACCATGAGAAGTGCTAAGGTACTTAGATTATTAGCTGCATTAAAATAATGTAAAAAGTCAGTATTATTTGTATAACCCTGATCTTCCACAAATCAACCCATGAGTTATGAGTCTCATAAATTTAGTGTCTCGTCCCATTATATCTAGATATATAAATTATATGAATATGATAGTTCTAACATCAGGAAAGAATTTTAAATAAATATCAGGGTTTTAGGTTACTAAACATGTAAAGTACCAACATACAAAACAATTTTTTTTTGAAGTACACAAAGAATGTTTGCAATACAGTTTTACAGCATTGCTCTAGGTTTCTTCCTTTTTTTTAAAAAAAAAATATAGCTTTTAATTCAGAACAATAAAACTGCTGCTGTGTCAGAAGACCATCTGAATTCTAAAACATAACCAGAAATATATAGATGATGTAGGAGAGTAAATGTACTTCCAGCCAAATAAATAAATAGAATGCTCTAGCAGGAAGATAATAAACGGCAGTAGATGACTGCGTGATGTTTGGACAGGTGAAGTTTTTTGGCTGGCTAAAAGAAGAGGCAGAGTGTTGACTGATTAACACAAGATTTGTTGAGCATTAGTTGTAAACACATGCTTTTTTGGTGTAAGTCATTTAGAAATTAACACCACACTTTCTCTAAATTATTAGAGCTGAAAGATGAGGGAGTTACTTATAACAGTAGGTACAAACTGGTCAGGTGGAAGTTATTTTTCAAGTTTCAATGCATAATTAGATGAACTCACTTTCATATGATGTTGACGACAATTTAGCAATTCAATGACAGACTGGACATTTTTTGACTAAAAAGACTATCAAGGAGTATAAGGCAGGTAGTATGGCCTAGGGGATAAACAATACTGGGACTCAGGAAACCTTGGTTCTATTCCCAGCTCTGCTACTCCCCTGCTGGGTGACCTTGAGCAACTCACTTTACCTCCCTGTGCTTCAATTTCCCCATCTGTAACATGTGGATAATGATATAAAGGAGGTAAGTAAAACATTTTGAAATCTACTGATGAAAGGGGCTATTTAAGAGCTAGGTGGTATTATTAATTATTATTATTACAGTAAATACCGAAAAAAGTTGTAGAAGGTACATCGCACTTCATGATTCTGGTTTTAAAGCAATCTCTAACTTTTAGGCATTAAGAGGACACTAATACTACATCTGCCTATTGTGAGGGTTTTTTTTTTTTTGCAATTTCTTCCATGCTACTGGCCATTGTCAGAGACAATATAATGGACTAGATGGATTCTGGGTATGATCTAGCACAGCAACTCCTATGTTCAAGTTGATGGTGCCCCTTTAGGGCTTCTTTTAGAATACTGAAAAATTAATTTCACCAGCCCATGTAGATATTTCTCACTAGTATAGCTAAGCTTACATAGGGCAAGTCTACATTATAAAATTAAGTCAACCTAAGTTACGTTGACGTACCACCAGCATAGTAATTCAATCGATTTTACACATCCACACTATGCCTCGTGTTAGTGGTGCACATCCTCACCAGGAATGTTTGTACCAATTTAACTGCTAGTGTAGGGCATTATGGGAGTGTTTCTGAAAGGCAGCAGTCGATGTAAGCAAAAGAGTGTCTACACTGACATTATGTCGACACAAACTACATCAACTTAAGCGCTATGTCTCTTGCAGAGGTGGAGTTATTACGTTGGTGTTGTGGGAGAGTTACATCGATCGGAGCTACATTTAGTGTAGATGCTTAGAGAGTTAGGTCGACATAAGCTGCCTTACATCAACCTAACTCTGTAGTGTAGACCAGGCCATAATTAGAGCTGTATGCTCATCTGAGGACTGAATATTTTACAGTTGCCTTGAAGTTTATATACCAATGGATCCCAAAAACTTTCTTTTGTGTTAGTCAAAACCACTTCTTGCTATGGTAATGGCACACTTTCTCCCCTCCCCTGTATCCCAACAGGCTATGTCCCAATACAGTTACTGTAATTGCCCTGCTTTTGTTCATTCCCCCCTCCCCCACTATCCTTGCCTAGGACTTCTGTTTCCTTCTCACTGATTTCTTTCCTGTGTTTATTCTCCCCTCCTCCCCCGAACTCTTGCTTTTTGTTGTGTAGAAATCGCCCTACTAGAGAAGTAAACTCATTCACCCAGCCACCACCAAATGGTGCCAGGGGCTATGGAAAGTTTTGTGGATTGTTGACTTAGAGTAATGGGAATAACTCATTTTTTGGTTCATTGGCAGTTCCAAAAACGTCTGGAAAAAAATTAATTTCAGATCAACCCAAAACTAAAACTTTCCTGAGTTTTCAGCCAATAGAAAAAAAAATAGTTTAGGGTCAAATTAAACATTTGTTTGACCTGAAATTAAATGTTTCATTTCTGGGCATTTTTAACCTTTTAAAACAAAAACAAAAAAATTTTGGAAACAAAAAGGCTAAATTCACAAGGGAACTTCGGTACCATTTACAAGACTGAGTAGGTAGAGATGCCCTCCACATGCCTAATAACCCAGTGATCAGGGCACTCACCCCTTGGGATGTGGAAGATCCAGATTCAAATTCCCATTCTAGAGCAAGGACTTGAACCCAAGTCTCCCACCTCCCAGGTGAGTGCCCTAACCACCAGCCTATTCTGTGGTGGTCTCTCTCCCATTGCAGCTGTTCTGCTTTGTATAAATTAAATATTCATTCAAGCAGGGACTGGAACCTAGGTGTCTCCCTACCAATCCCTAAAGTGTGTACCTTGTTAACTGGACTTAAAAAAAAAAAAAAAAAAAAAAAATTCTCACCTACTCTTTCTGGACCAATGAACATTTAATTTTTTTCAACTGAAACAATTCACCAAAATCAACATGAATTCATGAAATATTTCGGTTGACCTGATTCTGCATTTTCCGGTGGAAAAAAGTTTTAGCCAAAACATTTCACCCAGCTCTACCCAAGATCAGGTCATATGTTTTTGTGACTAAGTTGAATGCTGTGGGGACAGAGAAGTTTAGACTGGTATTCTACTGCATGAACCTGCAACCATGAACACAAACTGCTTCCATGTCCAGCTGTAGGGGTTGTGCAAGAGCAGGAAGGGAGGACAGGTGGCTTTCAAGGAGCCACAGCTGAAAGCTCTTTTTTGCATAGCATGTATATTGAGCAGCAGATCCAAGCTCAATCAACTTTCTGCATTTCTCCCAGTTGGGAAACTTAGCCAGCAGTGCATGGGGGGGGGGGGGGTGGGGGGGGGGGTTGAGAGAAGAAACAAAGCAACTTTTTTTTAAAATTAGTATTTTCTCTTTTTTTCAGTGTGTTTACTTTGTGCATTTGACAGTACTTCGTGAGCAGCCAGTCTGACTCTTTTGTGGGTAGTACACCCCTCTCTTCAGACCTTAAAAAAGAGAAGTATGCATGCAGCAGGCGTCTAACCATGAAAAAAAGAAAAGGGAGATTATGAGTGAGCCTGAGCATGTTCGATGGTGCTACTCAAAGTATTGTCCAAAAGATCCTTCTGAATATAAGTAGGACAGCAGAAAAACTTTCAGTTTTTTCTTTTAAAAAAGGATTTTTAAAAAAGGACAGATCATGCCCTTTAAACCGTGTTCCAACCAGAAAGGTTTTTTTTAAAGTAATAATAAATAAATAAAAATAAAAATTTCTATGTCCCTTCAAGCTCAGAGTATTCTTTTCCATGTTCTGTTAAGAGTCTCTACTTGACAAAAAAATTACAGAGTCAGAATGTAGCCAATGTAACACATAGCACAAGATGTTAAAGACTGTACTTTTAAAATATTCACATAAATTAATGTTTGGACTGATGTAGCTATCTTTAGAAAGCGTGAATTCTAATTATTCAATACATCTAAATGCCAGCTAGTGCCTTTCATCCCAAAAGGATTCCAAAAAATATTATAAATATTACAAATTAAAGGTCAACATTTTCAAACTTGAGAGACTGTAGTTAAGCTTCTTAATTTGTATCTGGCATCTAAACAAAGTGGCCTGATTTTTTTTTTTTTGGGGGAGGTCCTGAGTACCCACAAGATGTTACTGAAATTAATGGGAGTTGCAAGTGCACAGAACCTCTGAAAAGCACCCTCCTTTTATATAGGTGGGCCAAGATGAGTTAAGAGTCCTTACTTTAGGAATCCAAGTTTGAAAATTTTGACTTAAAATTATTTTATGTGTGTGCATGGAATCATTTCATCCACTGCTGAAATGCAGTCACTTCTGGCATAAAACATTAAAGCTATTTAAAGACCTGTTGCTAAGAGGTTTTCAGCAATTGCAATTCCCATTGATTTCTGGCCCCAACAGTGCACCGCAACGGAACAAAAGCAAGTTGAGGATAAAAAGTGAAGAATACCCCTCATAGCCAACTGAAAGCGAAAGGGGAAATGTTAGGTTGCTAGTGTGTTCCAAGGATCTTTAATGATCATAAACAGTCAATATCTGGGTTTTGCATCTCGCCAACAGCGTAAGGCCCTAACATACTGTTGCTAGGTCCCTTACATCTCAGAGGAAAGAGTGCCACCTACTGATTCAGCAACATCACATTTTAATGCATTTCTCCAGTTAGAAAATGGCAGGAATTAAAATAAATTAATGGTATAGACTGAACTCTCACATAAGGAAAAAGCTACAATGGTAGTATGTTTATACATCATAATTATTTAACTAAAGCAGAGACAAAGGAGCAAAAATTAGAAATCTATGAAAACTTCTCAGAAGTCTGTTTAGCTTCATGCTCAAGAAAAAACAGACTGAACGGAAGTACTGTGATCAAAAAGCATGACGCCTTTCCCCTTGCCTGGCTGAGTAATGATTAATGTAATATGCATTTCAAAGGCAAAAAAGGATACTTTCATGACTCAAAGACTGATTTTGGATGGTAGTATCGGTCATATCCCTTAAAATCTTCTGAGAACTTTAACGTACAAGTTACACATGTAGATATTGAAAATTAAGGCCTATAGCTAACATGTTTTTTAATTTAAAAGTTTATAGTTTTAACTGCGTAACTCTATAATCTTATCAGCCATGTTTGTTTATTTTTGTTTTAAAACACAAGTTACAAATCACAGACATCTGCATAATTATAATATTTCCAGCATAGAACTCTGAACTAATCAGAAATTCACACAGGAATAGGACAGCAACCAAGACTTTGGTGAAAGCAATGGAAAAAGTACAGAAGACGATTTTTAATAGATGGAGAAAAAACATACAGCTTCCTAGTATTTACTGTAATGTTTTGATTTTTTTAAACATATACTCAACTCATCTTTAAGAAATTCTCCACCAAAATAAGATTTGTTTTGAATTATAACTTACCAAGTACAAGAAATATCCACCAAAGCCAGTACTGTCCATTGAAATATCCAGTAAAGTAGTCTGAGAACTAAAACAGACAAGGATTAACCACAGTAATACACAATATAAATTACATTTAATATTTTAAATGCATCTAGGACAAAAGAAAAAAACAGTCAACTAGCACATTTAAATATAAAATAATGCATTGGAGTAGAAAAGCAAAAATATTTGGAGAAGCTGTAAAATACACAAATAGCTTCAGTGTTGTGTTTTTCAAACAAAGAATTTCCAAGCTCTCTTGTGAAAAAGTATCATATTACTCATTTGAATCATCTGACATTTTCTATTATAATGAATTACTGTCAGCTCTCTTTCAATTTCTGCCATCCCAAACACACTACAGCAGCCTGCTGCTTTAGATATTAACACTAAAAGCCACATTTGTTTAATCTTATCAGACGGGGATGTTCTGCTGACCCTTTAAAAGAAGAGCTTTTGACCTTCTGTACACCCCCTACTGTTAATCGCTGCCAAGAATACCAGTCTCATAAAGACCCCCAACTCATTAAAAAGTCTTTTCATTTTCAAGCTAGATGCTCCAGCATTCAGTTCCCAGCAGTGAACTGAACACAGCTAAATGAACCTTGAAGTGGCATTTCAACTGTTCCTGTTAGTGACTACGGTAGACAGTCTTGTCCTCTCTGTGATGTGGAAATATGAACAGGCAGCTGGAGGGCAGGGTGTGATGGTATTGGAGACCGGTATCTTTTCCTTTACCAGACTGCATGCTTCACTGATAAAAAAGGCTAATCAAATGCCTCCAGAGCTCACTTCAGATCTCTCGCTACTCCTACTTCCAACTCTAACTCTTCCCTAAAAATTATTAAAACAAACAAAAATAGTTTGTTTAGTTGTAGCAGTTCAATAATTTTCTGTACATTTCCTGTCCTACCGCTACTCAACATGTTGGACAGTATGCGTCAAGAGGTTGCCTAGATCATCATTTCCGGCACATTTTGTAAAATAGCTAATTAATGTTTAAGTCCAGACAACACTTATACTAAAATGAAGATATGTGCTCAGATCCTCACTTGAAGTAAATCAATGGAATTCTATAGATTTAGACCAGTGAGGATTTGGTTTATGATCTTTATTTTCACTCTGAAAAAAATATTAATGGTTTTCATTCTTTATTTAATTACAAAAGGTTTCTGTTTCTAACAGCATTCACTCACTCCAAGCAACTTCTTTTAAAGAAATAAAAAATAAATAAATAAAAAAATCAAGTATTCACGTAGGGAAGAGTCCGTGTTGGAATTTGGAGTTGAGACTTTTTATAATTGTTTCAGTTATCAAATCCATATCTCATGGATTCCTAGATGGTTAGCATCAGTTGCTTCAGACACACAGAATCATAGAAATGCAGGCTGGAAGGGACCTTAAAAGGTCACAAATCCAGCCCCCTGCACTGAGGCAGGACCAAGTAAACAGACCATCTGTATGCAAGAAACCCCATAGTAGGCTTATTTTGAATAATCTCAGGACAGCCTCCTTCTAATTTCTAACAAGGGTGAGATTCTGACCCCCCACCCACCCTGGCCTTTGTACACTAGGTAAAAAGGACCAAAGTAGCATAAAGAGACTCTAAAAGTCCTGAATCAGCCAAGAGAAAATTCCCCTGGCACAGAAACTGAGGAAACAGCTATAGGCTGTCTTTCTGAGAAGCCCTTGCTCACAAGTACTGGAGAGGAGACATGGCTGGGAGGGGTGGGACATATTAGGCAGAGACCACAGCACATAGTGCTACAGAGATTCTTGGCAACGATGCCGCATTCAAGGCAGCCAAATGAGGTTGTCATAAATTAGACCATCCTCCAGGGCTGAATTACATCAATAGCTGCTGCAGCCCCTGGAACAACCCAGAATTGGGAAGGCACAAAAGATGGCTTAATGCCTTAGCCTCCACCTTCCTTGGACTGGGCTGAAAGTTCTGTGCTGTGCCTCTAAAAAGGTGCTTCAGTTTCACAGATTCATACAGTTTAAGCCCAGAATTGACTATTAGGTCATCTAGTCTGCCCTGTATATCACAAAATATTAAATTGCTCCCAGTTAACCCTGCATCGAGCCTGGTAACTTGTGCTGTGCTAAAACATATCTCCCAGAACGGCATCCAGAGAAGACACCAAGAGAAGGAGAATCTCCCATTTCCTTTGGTAGTTTGCTCCAGTGGTGAATAAGCCTCACTGTTAAAAACGTGCCTTTTTTCTATTTTAAATTTGTATGGCTTCAGTTTCCAACTTCTTGTTATGCCTTTTCCCACTACATTAAAAAGACCTTTCATAGGTGTCATTTGTCCCCCGATGAAGATATTAATACGCTAATCAAGGTACCTCTCCATCTTTTTTGATAAACTAAAGAGATTGAGCTCTTTAAGTCTCTCACTGTAAGGCATTTTCTCCAGTCCGTGAATCATTTTTTGCAGCTCTTTTTTGCACACACTTGAATTTTTAAAAATCCTTTTTAAAAATGTTGACAACAGAACTGGATACAGTATTCCAGTATCATTCTAGATATTCTTGTTATCCATATAAAATGTCCAAATCTTTTTTGAATCTTGACAAATTCTTGGCTTCAGCAGACTCTGGTAATGAGTTCCATAGTTTGGGTTTGTTTGTTTTTTTAAAAAAGTGTTTCTTTTTAGTTTTAAATTTTCCACTTTTCAGTTTCATTTAATGCCTCCTTGTTCTTGTATTATCTCCTCTTTATTATTAATTATTTTATATACTTTACCATATTGTCTCCTCTTAGTCTATTTTCTTCTAAAATAAATAATCCCTGGGGGAAAATCTAAAAAGAGAGAGGTATAAGCAAATATCCTAGTGGGAAAACAAAGGTCTGCTGGTGGAGTCACTGTGTTGACAGATTCGGGGAATGTCACAGAAAACAGCAATGGAGCTATTCAGAAAGAGGACAGAGCCTTAAGATGCCTTCACCTCCCAAAAGGTCAAAGGAGGCCCTGAACCATTTTTAAAAGTCCCCTATTATATTCTACATAGATCGGCTCTTGGACCGATAGATTTGATGGCAGATAAGAACCCAAGCTTATTATGCACCTTTATGCAAAAATCAAATAATCTTTCACAGTTGAATCCTTTTTGACAGAAATACGCACGTAGCAAGGTGAAATTATTACAGCAGATAAAAAAGTAACAACATTCAAGAATCTACATATTACAAGACAGTAAAAGCTGTTAAGGGATTAAAATAATCAAGTTCACTGACAAAATGTTGCAATTTCCACATTAGTAAATATTTATTGCATTAACTTAAAATATTAGAACATCTAATAAAAGTCAATACACCAGTTTAAACTGCATTTTAAAGAAACTAGACACCATGAATCATTTTTCTATTTTCATTTCGTAAAAACACAGGCACAAAATATCCATCAAGAACCTTACCCGTACAATGAGAATCCATTTGATCAGCGATAGGCCAAATCCACAGATTGCACCATACCTTCCTGCTATGGTGTTAGTTATACAGAAGGATAAACAAAATCCAATCCAGTTGAAAATAAATGCCACTAAGACAAAGAGAAACAGTAGTTGTGTTAGTGACAGTGCACTCTTGGTTAGCCATATAAAATAAATATAACTAATTTACTTTAATGTACTAATAAGTATATTTACAAGATTAGAGATCTGTATTAGTATTTCAGATAAAAATAGTATCCTTCAGAAATGTAGGTGTTCCTAATGGTATATACACCTTAAAAAGTACACTAGCTAATATCTATCAGCCAGCTACTTTAAACAGAGAAGAAAACCAAATACAAGTAGATTCTCTCTCTCTCAAAAAAAGTGTTCTATCCTCCACAGAACTCTGACTGGAAGCTACAGAACCACAGGAATAAACATCGAATAAGCACTATGAATTAGATAAATACATGAAGTGATACATTTGTCTTAGAACTATGAAAAGCGTAGTAAGATTAACAATAAGGAAAATGCAATTACAAACACTTGATTGATTCTATGCAGAGATTTGCCAAGTCTGGATAAAAAAATTATATTTATTTTGCGCTATAAATTGATAAGGTGAAAATATCTATCGAGAGGCTGACGTATTACAAGAACAGGACTCTGTGTGATCACCATGGATTTGGTATCAATGAAATCTGATACCAGGACTTGGTGTATAATACAATCTGCAATATATTATTCAGGTAAATGGGATACATTTTGATAACATCTATTTTCATGGGAAGTCTCACAAAAATACCACTGTGCTTAAAATGTTCATACTGCTCTCACTAACAGACCAATCTCATTCTTCATACAAGTTCTCAATGATTGGCCTTTTACATTTTTAGCAGCAGTCAGCAAATGAGAATGAGAATGTCTGGTCTGTACTGACATCAGCTTGTAGGTGATGGACAAAGTGTGCGAATTCTCAATAAAATGGTCTCCAAGCAGTGGGAGTAACTGGAAGCTTTTTGCCTTTTTCTTTTTTTAAAGGGACCAGAACACTTGGGAGAGAGAAGTAGGACAAGAAAGATTAAAAGAGTTCTGGAGTGGATGAGACAGTGGGAAACTGAAGAGATCAAAGGGTATTGGCTACACTGCAGCTGGGAGCATAATTTCCCAGCCTGGGCAGACAGATACATGCAACCTCTGCTCAAGCTTGTGTGTGAAAAAGAACAGTGCGGATGGTGCAGCATAAGCTATTTGCCCGAGTACAAACCTGCCTAAGCCCGTGGGTATGTACCTGGGTGGATAGCCTGTGCGACTGCCTGCGCTGCAGCATCCTCATAGCTATTTCAGCATGTTAGCGCAAACAAAGGTAGTACATGTCTGTCTACCTGGGCTGAGAGGCATGGCCCTATCTGCAGTGCAGACATACTGTGTCTTACTTCCTGATTTGTCAACCACTTGGGAGAGACTATAGAGGCTAAGTCGGTCTGCCAGAATTCTTGCTTAGCTTAAAGAAAGGGAGATCAATAAGGTCTCCTTACATATTTCTAGCTGTAAGCTTCAATGACTTATCCATACCGGGTTGATGTGAGCTGAGCTTGTCCCCTCCTGATTACTGTCTAGTACATTTATATTCCAAAGGGAGCGGTCTTTCAGTAGTCAGAATTTCTAGCCATAAATGAAATCCAGTGTAAAACAATATACTTTGCACCGTAACTTAGGTGACTGGAGCTACAGTTAATGTTTGTCAGGAAAGCAGCACTTCAAATGCTTGGTTTCTGGATACTTGAATACACTGGAGATAATTGCATACGCTTTTTCCCCCTACTTTTAGTTCCCCCCAATCCCAATGTTCCAGATATACAGTAGCCCAAGATCCAGGAAGGGTCTGTGACCTCTGCTCGCCCTTTCCACAAGGCAGGTCCTTGCACCCCCAGTCCAGGGTTACATTAAGGTTCCTTTGCCCAGGAGTCCCCGCCTTCCCCAATACTGAGACCCCTCATGGGGCTCTTTCCCTCTCCAGTTCCCCATTAATATTTGCTCCTTGTTCCTCCTCCCCTCAAACAGATTCAGTGGCAAAACTGGCTCCTGTACTGTAACGGTTAAATCAACCTCCTGCATAGGGACAACAGGCAAGGAGTACTCTCTGCCCTGAACAGGGCATGGTCACAAGGCAAAGCTGAGTTGATGAGTCACAGGTGCTATTTTTGTTAAACAGAATCCTTTCAAGCATTTGCTGTGACATACGTTACCATTGCAAAGTTACAATTGCAGTAACTTTATTGGCAGGACAGTGTAAAAGCACATCCGGGTGACTCTTCCCCGCAGAATCCCCCAGGGCAATAAAGGGGTACAGCTAGAAGAGCAAGTCTGAGCCATGTGCTGGACAGTGGGAAACAGCTGCCCATTATGCTGTGCAATGGGAGTGCCTGTTATGGGTACCGACCAGACACGTGCCAGGCCCCACTGTCAAGGGACCAGCTCTCCCCACCAGCACAACAGGCCCCATTGGCACCTCCTTGCCTGCCAGTCGCACTGCCCTCTTTGGTGCATCACAGTACAGTAGTGGGTCCATGACAGTATCTAGACAGACAGGCAAAAGTTGATGGAGCAGCTGCTGCATGCTGCTTCTCACAAGGCCTTCGGCTCCAGGAACATTGCCCAGGTGTTCCTGCATTGGCTGCTCTCATTGAAAAATCAAATAACTCTACAATACAGACCACTCCCTGTTTCAGTTAGTCCAGCTACTCTCTCACTAATGCACTTATATCCTGCTGCCATTCATTTTAGCACCATATCACTTGTGCAGTCAATCTCGCTAGTTTGCTGCAATTTGTACTCTGAACACAATTGTGAAACACGAAAGGTGCTTTACAAAATAAAATACTTTTGACACTCACTCTTACAACTACATTGATCAAAGCCCTTTTACTTTATTACTCATTCTTGAAAAGAATAGGTTTTTCAATGGGAGGAGTTATTCAGACAGCAAATTATTTGGTATGAAGTGCAGACTCTTACACTCAATAGTGAATAATAATAAATAAACAGCACTTCTATAGTACAGTATGATAGAGCTAGATATCAGTACATCTTGGAATTCTTAATAGCTTTTTTTTAAAAGCTGGTCTAAAGAATTGTATAAAAAAATCTCTACAGGGAAAATAGTTTAACTGACAAAAAATAAATATTAAGTTGTGGATGTTCTACTTCAAAAATATAGAGCTTACTTTCAAGCTATTACAAACTTCTGTGCACTCACTTGGGAAAACTCAAGTGAAACTTCAGTATGACAAAAATTTCTCCTCTTGATATAGAGCTGCCTAAATATTTTGAAGGGAAAATGACAGAAGTCCAAAGTTTTTTTATCAAACATGCATCAAAGTTAAAGAATCTCCCAAGCATACCAATGAAGGTGGGGGGGGGACCCCTTAATTGTATTATATAAAGCACTCTTGCTATCTACTATAGTGGAACCTATTTATCATTACATTTTGTTTACTTTATATTTGAAGTGCACACATGAAGTGAAATGGAATTCAACCCAGAAATTTGTCCTGAAAGCCCTCAAGTCTTTACCAAGCTTATAACAAGGCTGTGGAAACAGTTTTCAATGTACATGATTACCATTTAAAAACTTGCAAGTTAAAAAAAAAAAACCCACCAAACTTACTTCTGCACACAAAGCCCTCTCCTGATTAGAGGCAGTGTTCAGCATACATTTCCTGACTACGTGCAATTTTCTTTTTACCTTATGTAGTCTTCACTTCTTGCCAGTTTTCATTTCTAAAATGACATTCCTCTTAGACTTCAGCTAATATGAAATTTTCAAGTAAGATATCGTAAGATGGATTTCTGAAGTTTGGCAACATCTGTTGCCTTTCTTCCACTAATTCTGTAGTTTGATTTAAAAAAGAGTAAGTTTGTCTGGCATTACTAGTGCTATATAAAGCCCATGCTGTTTCTCACTTACGGTTTAGTTACCCTCTAGGGTTGTACCTCCCAACTGCCATGTCTTGAACAAAGAGGATTTGTGCACAAAATTAAGTTGATGGGAAAGATGGAATTACTCTACCCTCTGCCAACCTGGGGACAGGCTGCAATGCAGCCCCTCTTTGGTCCTCTGTATAGAATACACCATCTTGTGGGCTAGCAAGCACCACTGTGTAAGGGACAAAAAGGAGTTCTAGGTTCTTCGCTCTCAGTAGAAGGATTGTTCCAAAATATGATTGAAGCCTATTAGCAGAGCAGCTGTCACCGCTGCTGCTCATACTGTACTGTACCATGGAAAGATTTCAGTCTCCAGGACTGTCAATCCAGGATCTGCCAAAAACACTACCACTTCACTCAGTATTGAAACAGCTGAATATACCTTAAGAACTCAGAGTCAGCAACATAAGTTGCCACATTTAAAAAAACCTTTACAAGTAACTTCTCTCTCGCTCTCAAGAAAAATTATGAAGAAAAAACTTTTTTGCCACTTCCTATTATGATCCTATTTGGGTCAAACATGGCCTTCTGTGTCTTAAGCCTTAAGGGCAGGGGAACAGGACAACTTCACTCAGAGGAACTGCATGCAACAGAGGATGCAGAAGGTTAAAAAAAAAAAAATCATAAGCCTCAAAGAGTCTCAGCAGTTAAAATACCACTAATATTTTCAGTGCCAAAGGAGCTCTACTCTACTCCCTTTCCATTCTGTTCTAAACTGATTGTTATACTGCCCCCACCACCATCTGAGTCTCTTTCAGCAGCACACTAAATCACCAGGCTAACATCTGATACATGTTTATTCTCTCTCTCAGACCCTCTTCCCAGGGGGAAAATTGTGGGTTTAGTGTTTTGGTTTGGAAGGATTGTGGGTTTTTTTTTTTTTTTTTAATTGCACATGCTCAAATCTCAATATCATCAAAATTGACAGAAGGGAGAAGTGTGATGGATTCTGGCAGCGAAGCTGTCAGACTCAATGACCCACAAAAAGCTGGAACTTACACTTATCAATACTAACAATAAAACTCCTCTTTTGCTCTTTAAGAAAGTTTGGCTGTTGATCGGAGAAACTGAGGCTCAGAAGCTCCTAACAATCATAAAGGTAATGTAGTCGCTCTCTCTA